CTTCAGAAACATTGCATTTAATGCAACTCCTCCTTAACTGTTTTCTTTTGCTATTATTTGGCACAGTCAAACTACATCATAATATGAACATGTGCTTGAAGAAAGGAATTTGTGATTCGACCATTTTTCTTGGAGTTATGACCCTAATTAAAACTTTATATAATATTTCCTGTTCCAGAGATCTTACAAGCGCAAGTGGGGGGTAAATCTATCTTCGTGAGCTCGCTCACAGTTTCTCTAGTCAATAACTGTTTGTTGTAGCAATACACAGCAATGTTTCAGGTGTTTTGGCGTTTAATTATAATTGGGATAGTTGCATAATAGAAAATATAGCAAATTGAAATCCAAAGTCCTGAATGTATGGTAATGCTGGAGCTAAAACACTGAATTTGATATGGTAGGCGTCCAAAAAATACTTCAATCGACCGGAACTTTAATGAACAGTGACATTGTCTTCATTAGAGTCTGCCACCTATTTTGCCCAGTCTTATAATTTAATGCATTTCAGTTTCTCTTCCTCCCCAAAAAACATTCCAGATTGAATGTGATCGTGGATTGTGTGGATCGTGGGTTGTGTGATAAATGATTGAAGACTTTGGTTTACTGGTTTTTGAAGTGACAGCTACAGCATATAATTCAAACACCATCTAACGATAATTCTAAGGTAATTAAATGCCATTTCGACATGTGATGTTGATTGACTTAAAAGTTTGAAAAGATTGTTGCTGTATGAATTGAATCAGATTAAGCCATTTTTGAGTTACTTTGATGAATTGAGCAAGGTATTTTCATTCGCGTTTCATGTACTTTCTCCCTCCCTGAAAAAGTGGAATGACGGAGATCTCCCTCATTGGAGGCTTCAGAGGTTGACACCTATGATATTGTATATTTGGTTTAAAATTTCAGTGTATAACTATGATGGTTACTGATAGAACGGTTACCTAATTACCATGTAGACAAATTAACAGCAGAAAGGTTAGGATGTTACTAGTTTTAGTTAAGTACCATGTAGACAAATTAACAGCAGAAAGGTTAGGATGTTACTAGTTTTAGTTAAGTACCATGTAGACAAATTAACAGCAGAAAGGTTAGGATGTTACTAGTTTTAGTTAAGTACCATGTAGACAAATTAACAGCAGAAAGGTTAGGATGTTACTAGTTTTAGTTAAGTACCATGTAGACAAATTAACAGCAGAAAGGTTAGGATGTTACTAGTTTTAGTTAAGTACCATGTAGACAAATTAACAGCAGAAAGGTTAGGATGTTACTAGTTTTAGTTAAGTACCATGTAGACAAATTAACAGCAGAAAGGTTAGGATGTTACTAGTTTTAGTTAAGTACCATGTAGACAAATTAACAGCAGAAAGGTTAGGATGTTACTAGTTTTAGTTAAGTACCATGTAGACAAATTAACAGCAGAAAGGTTAGGATGTTACTAGTTTTAGTTAAGTACCATGTAGACAAATTAACAGCAGAAAGGTTAGGATGTTACTAGTTTTAGTTAAGTACCATGTAGACAAATTAACAGCAGAAAGGTTAGGATGTTACTAGTTTTAGTTAAGTACCATGTAGACAAATTAACAGCAGAAAGGTTAGGATGTTACTAGTTTTAGTTAAGTACCATGTAGACAAATTAACAGCAGAAAGGTTAGGATGTTACTAGTTTTAGTTAAGTACCATGTAGACAAATTAACAGCAGAAAGGTTAGGATGTTACTAGTTTTAGTTAAGTACCATGTAGACAAATTAACAGCAGAAAGGTTAGGATGTTACTAGTTTTAGTTAAGTACCATGTAGACAAATTAACAGCAGAAAGGTTAGGATGTTACTAGTTTTAGTTAAGTACCATGTAGACAAATTAACAGCAGAAAGGTTAGGATGTTACTAGTTTTAGTTAAGTACCATGTAGACAAATTAACAGCAGAAAGGTTAGGATGTTACTAGTTTTAGTTAAGTACCATGTAGACAAATTAACAGCAGAAAGGTTAGGATGTTACTAGTTTTAGTTAAGTACCATGTAGACAAATTAACAGCAGAAAGGTTAGGATGTTACTAGTTTTAGTTAAGTACCATGTAGACAAATTAACAGCAGAAAGGTTAGGATGTTACTAGTTTTAGTTAAGTACCATGTAGACAAATTAACAGCAGAAAGGTTAGGATGTTACTAGTTTTAGTTAAGTACCATGTAGACAAATTAACAGCAGAAAGGTTAGGATGTTACTAGTTTTAGTTAAGTACCATGTAGACAAATTAACAGCAGAAAGGTTAGGATGTTACTAGTTTTAGTTAAGTACCATGTAGACAAATTAACAGCAGAAAGGTTAGGATGTTACTAGTTTTAGTTAAGTACCATGTAGACAAATTAACAGCAGAAAGGTTAGGATGTTACTAGTTTTAGTTAAGTACCATGTAGACAAATTAACAGCAGAAAGGTTAGGATGTTACTAGTTTTAGTTAAGTACCATGTAGACAAATTAACAGCAGAAAGGTTAGGATGTTACTAGTTTTAGTTAAGTGCCATGTAGACAAATTAACAGCAGAAAGGTTAGGATGTTAATAGTTTTAGTTAAGTGCCATGTAGACAAATTAACAGCAGAAAGGTTAGGATGTTACTAGTTTTAGGTACAGACTATTCAGTGTATAACTGTGAGCTCCTCCATTCACATTCTGCTTGGGCCGATTACTGTTTAGTTACTAGTATTCTTTGATGAATACACATGTACAGAAAATACATTAATACGAGAGTTGGAAAACAATGATTTCTTTAATGTTAAGATGCAAATATATTTGAAAGTAAACTTTTCAAAATTTTGGCCTAGTGCAATACTCATCTGTGGTTTGAAATAGCAAAACCTTTTCCTTGATTCCCTCAGTTCGGCAACATTGTACAACATACATTATTGGCTTAGCTTAGTAATCTCTTATGAGGTCAACTCAGAGGTCACACAATAGCAAGATGAACGTGCTACGCCGAAATAAAAGCAAAAGACTCTTGGATGATTGCCCTGATTTACACAGCAGCTGTTGTCTGTATCTGCTATTACAAAGACGAATAACAAATGTGTACTGATCTCTGTCATAATGGAACACATGCACTCATGATCGCATACCTATATATATAAAGATAAGGATCAGTACTGGATTTAAAGGGATATATACCTTATCTTTTATATAAAATTAGGGGGAGCGTTGCCAGTATATTTACTAAGAGAATTTAGTGTACCTGATATCAGAAATGTAATCGTTATGGTCGATGTTTTCCGGTCGTGCTGGTTTTTATCTTTTTCAGTTAATATACAGCTGTTTGTGGTCTGTGAACGTGAAAAATAGTATGAAATATCAATATTATTTACTTTGTAACCATGGTGTTGATGAATTAGTATAAATATAGTATCTCCTATATCAAAGTGAGAAAATATACTGTTACAATATTTTTCATTTAAAAATCCATACATGCTTTATAATACCGCAGTATTATAAATTCAAGGATGTTATCAGTCATACCTATTCATGAGAAATAATATTACAAAATATATCACTTCTAAATATGTAATGAGTTTCAGGCAACCAAAAGGAGTTTTTCTGGCTTAGGGTAACTTCCCAATCAAGTTATTCTTAGGTTTTACAGCCCATAATTGCTGGCCATTCATTTTGATGTTTATATTTATAATTCCTCTATGGCTGCATTGTTAGAGTATAGGCTTTGCAATGTAACGGTCCTGAGATCGACCCTTGAAGTTTTTCTGCTTTTCATACCCCCGTCGTCCGATGGGTCGTATTATGGTATATGGGCTGCTTTGACTGATGTCCTGATGTCCGGATGTCCGTCCTTTAACATTTCCTTGTCATCGCTCTCCTGTCTTCATTCATGAACATATCTTGATGAAACTTGATACACATATTGCATATTAATATAGCTCAAACCATTTTGCATTTCAGAAGTTTACATGCATTATTAGTGGAGTTATGCCCCTTTTATTGCCAAATAAGGGCATTGTGTAGTAAATGCAAGAACTTTTTTCCTCTTTAATCAATTATTTTCAAATTTTGTACAGTAATGCTCAACATAAATATATTACGGGTTTTTCTGTCGAGTTTCAACTTTCTGCCTTTTGGAGCATCACATTTGACATAGCAACACTGATTTTTGCCGTTAATTTGTACGTGTTACTCAAACAATTGTTCTCCAATTTTTATTAAACTACTTGGTTGTTTCATTACAAATGCTTTAGATGAGTTTTAATATCGAGACATTTAAACGCTATTTGGCAGAGTTATGCCCCTTTTTCATTGCCAAATAAGGGCATTCCATTGAAAATGCAAGGACTTTTTAATTATTCATTCAAGACTCCTAACCTAAATCCAAGGTTCCAGTTTTAGTAATAGCAAAATTAATTGACCACAAAAGTGTAATTCTGAAACACAAAATAGCTCGTGCCATAAATAAATGGCAAGGTCACAGTCACCAACAAATCGTTGGCACTACACATTTATATCATGTCACTACCTGCTTCCAATATATCGATACCCTTCCAAGGGTCTGATTTAGATTGCTGATCTGCACTGAGTATCAAAATTAAGGATACTTTCCCCTGCAATATGAAATCAAGACATTGTTTACCAGAAATCATTGGATATATAAATTAAGGCTGCAATGATCATAGATTCATATGTAGGACCATAGTGGCTGAGTGGTTAATGCGTCTGAATGTCTATGATCACTAGCCTTCCACCACTGGATCGTGGGTTCGAGACCTATATGAGACAGTTATCATGTACTTACCGGCCAGGTCAGTGGTTTTCCTTTGGGCACTCTGGTTTTCCCCTCCACTATAACCTGGCATGTCCACAATTAAATGACAATAGCTGTTAATAGGATGTAAAACACAAACCAATCAAACTTTAAATATATTGTGTTGGTAACCTTTAGATAAATTCGCAATATATAGTTATTGTCTCTAAACAATTTAAATAATTAGCGCTGTTTTCTTTTCATTCCAGGTGGCTCATTGTGAAGGATGGATTTGTGGCATATATCCGACCACGTGATGGCCGTGTTTGTGATGTCATGTTGATGGATCGTGACTTCTGTGTCAATGTTGGCATGGGAACAACTGGAGCACATCATGGTCTTCTTGTCACAAATTTAAACAGGTACGCAAAGTTGAAATTTAAAGTCAAACATGAAATTCATTTTAACATGAAATAAACCTTAGGATATTAAATGTGTAAAATTTATCGAGGAATGTACAAAGGTAGATTAAAAAGATCATTCAAAGCTTTCAGGATTATTTGGTTGATGTTTGTAGAATATAAATTTTTCGTTTTCAGAAATCTGTTAGCAAAGTGTTGGACTCGAAGGAAGGCAGAAGAGTGGAAAAGAAATATTGAGGAGGCAGCAAAGACAACAGGGAAAGACTACACACAGGAAAACAGGTTCCAATCTTTTGCGCCTGTCCGGGAACCGTCCTATGCCAAATGGTAGATAGATACTTCGTATTTGTCTCGCAGAAAAACCCCCCATTAATTTATGTGTTAACCTTTCACCTTTTGTTTTTTTACCTCTAATTGATGTCTGGAGTCTTTTTAACTTGTAATTTACCTCTCTTTTACCTTTTATTGACCTCTGTTACCCTAGATTTGATCTTTGATCCATGCATGACCCATTTTACAATTTGGACCTTAGACTTCTAATAGACTTGGTTTGACTTCTGACCTTTTATAAATCTAATTATTTTATGCCATTTAACATAAAGCTTGGCAAATAATTTGACATCATTTCCACGTGACTTGTATTAGACCTTTTGACCTTGGCTGATCTGTATTTGACCCATTGACCATCGGCTGATCTATTTTTGATCTGTTGACCCTTAGCTGATCTGTATTTGACACTTTGACCCTTAGCTGATCTATTTTTGATCTGTTGACCCTTAGTTGATCTGTATTTGACACTTTGCCCCTTGGCTGATCTATTTTTGATCTGTTGACCCTTAGTTGATCTGTATTTGACACTTTGACCCTTGGCTGATCTATTTTTGATCTGTTGACCCTTGTCTGATTTGTATTTGACCCTTTTACCCTTAGCTGATCTGTATTTGACCCTTTTACCCTTGGCTGATCTGTATTAGACCCTTTGACACTATAATTTGACCCTTGTCTAATATGTATTTGACCTTTTGCCCCTTGGCTGATCTGTATTTGACCCTTTGACCTTTGGCTGATCTGCATTTGACCCTTGACTGTTCTGTATTTGACCCTTTGACCCTTGGCTGATCTGTATTTGACCCTTTGACCCTTGTCTGATTTGTATTTGACCCTTGTCTGATTTGTATTTGACCCTTTCACCCTTGGCTGATCTGTATTTGACCCTTAGCTGATCTGTATTTGACCCTTTGACCCTTGGCTGATCTGTATATGACCCTTGTCTGATCTGTATTTGCAGGTTCGTTGATGGCGATTCTTACTTTTCGGCCGTGGCTGATGCACTAGAAAGTGCCAAGGAAGAAATCTACATCACAGATTGGTGGTTAGTATATAGATCAATGAAAGCAACCCGCTTAGTTTGTTGACTATAGATTTGAGATACCTACATAGTTTTATTAGGTCACCTGAAGACAAAGTCTCAAGTCACCTATTCTAATCGCCTTTTGTCAGTCGTTGTTGTCCGTCGTCCGTCATGCGTTGTCCGTTTTATCTGCTGGGAGAAGTTATACCTGCTGGGAAAGTTTCCATTTAGGAACTGAGATGGGGAGAGGGAGAGAACATGTGTCAATTACAATTACTAAATTACAAATCTTTGTTTGCTTGTGGAATTCATGAGTTAGTTGAATATCTGATAAACAAATTTTCACAGCAATTTATTTTCACCTTTTTCACCATTCCTAAATGAGGGCAAATTTATCATGAGAGCAAATACTAATACACTGTGCACTAGATTTAATAATTACATGTGAAAAGGGAAATTAACACTGTGTAGATATGTATGATATGGGTGGAGGGTGAATAAAGTTTTCCAATATACAATGTATGAATTGGAAAAGGTCTTGATTACACTGATCAAAACAAGCTTTGAGTCATAAACACATTGATCCATCAGTGATACACCACAATATGGTGGTATTTTTTCTTTGATTGTCAGCTACCGTGATATTTTGATCTTGTTTCGTACCAGCCTGTAATGTATGCTGAACAGCTGGTCACATGCATCTGAACTGAACATACTTGGAATGAATTGGATACGGATGTGGATAGATAAAATCCATAACAGTCTGTGTGTGTCGTAGTCATACCTATGTATAATCTCCGTCAACAGGCTAGTCATTGGACAATGACTCATCTTTATTCAAACACCCTGCGTTTACCCTTATCACATCAGGATTTTCATGTATCTCTGGTTGGCCTTCTGAAGTGGCTAATTGACAGTTACCTTTGTAAACTAGCCGTAGTTCATAAACATTCTTAAAATTGATAATAACTAAACAATTTCTTCTAAAGAACCAATAGGCCTACAGTCATGAGATTTGGCTGGTTATGCTTTCTTGGATGGAGTTCAATAAAATTTGTAAAAAAAATTACTTACCTGCTTTCAAGGTCACAGGTTTCAAACATGTTCAAAATTTCAAACAGCCTCTTCTAAAGAACCAAAAAGGCCTTCAATACTTATATTTGATATTTGGCTGGTAGCCTTTTGGACGGGAAAAGTCCCTGGACAAAGTTTGCAGACAAAAATGACCTTGACCTTCTTTCAGTGTCACATAGGTCAACTATGTCAATATACTTCAATTTACTTCTCCACCACCAAAACCTGGCACATCCTTAAATGACCATAGCTGTTAATAGGAAGTAAAACACTAACAAACTGAAGATTCAAAAAAAGATTTTAAGGGTCGATAACCGTCAAGGCATTTGGCTGTTAGCTTCCTTGTATGGATCGCGAGCCTGACAGGGGAAACTCAACCCTCGGGGAAAGATTCTTAAGTTGCCAAACACTGGGCAAAGCCTATTAGTCTCATCCTAGAGTTAAGATCACAGAGGGCTTTCCCCAGGCTTAACAATTAATATTATATGGCGTCACTTTTACAATGTCAGATTTGACTATGTGATAGAGCCAACAATTATTGTTAGAGAAAAGAAATCCTGTCATGAGGGTGAGATTGGGATCTGAAACCTCAGGGGAATTATAAGTCTGGGCAAGACTTTTGATTGGCAACTTGAAAGTTTTCCCCTTTAGACTGAGATCTCCCCCATCTCGCTCCCAAAGAAACGAAAGATTCTATTAATCTAGTACGTGTATCAACATTGATCTCAATGTTAAGATTTGAAAAAAGCACCAAAAACGATTGCAACAAGTTAAAATGTGATGATAAGAAAATTATTCAAATCAGAAACATGATGAAAATCAGGAAAAAAATAATAACACTCAAAAAATGATCAATCAGAAAAAACAACTCTATCACAATCAGTCAAAATCACCATTGGAAGATTTTCAAAATTTTCAAAATTGAGGAAAACATTTGAAACAAAAATCTTCCTAGCTTTGACAGCTGTGCCTAATGTCAGTAGATGTTGCCACAACTATTGTTGAAGGGCTCACACAACTAAATCATTTACTATATGTTATTACTAAGCTTTGGAGCTAATAGCGTTAATAGTTGAAGTTCAACACTAGTGACAACTGTCTAGATTCACAGATACATACCTGACAAAGGATTCAAAAGGCATTTTTGGTGAGTTTAGTGGCATATAAGAGCGCTACAGGCGTCTACTTTTGACAACCGGTGAAATGGGACGGGAACCCCCCCGGACATTTGACCCCATATCAATCCGCCATCACATTTTAAAATCTACTAAAACTATACATTTTTCTAAAGTTCAATATCTGTAGATTAGATTCAATGTAAAATATGTCAACAATTACCTATTTGAATTATTTGGAAGCACTGCATTAACCCGGAACAAATTTTAGATAGGGATTACCATGCTATGAAACACTTGCTGATTGGCTGATTAAAGTTCCATGAGTCCTGAAAGTACTAAAGAATGTTTTATTGATAAATGTTAATACAGAAATTTTCTGGCAAGAAACAAAGATTAGGACTGACATCTATATGGCTGTACCGATAAAACTTAAATATGGATTTACTTAAGTCCAGATCATGATGTTGGCCTTTTGTGGGATCAAATTGCTGTGGAAATAGCCATTATCATGGTATAACCAAGGAATTAGATTAAATCTAAGTCCGTGGTATAACATGCTGTTTCTGTGGATTGATTTGAGCTCAGCATGCTGAGAAACTGTAAATCGTCCATTATTCTGTTACCTTTATCACCTTTATTCATTGTCCGTCCATCAATCTGTCTGTCAATCCGTCAATAAACAATTTTTCGAAATGAAGTTATATATTTTGTAAATATTCCTATTAATTCCTTTTTCTGTTTTTGTGGTTTTTTTCAGGTTGAGTCCTCAAGTTTATCTCAAACGGCCAGTTACCGACGGCAACACCTGGAGACTAGACATTTTGTTGGAAAGGAAAGCTGTATGTGTCTAAGAAATGTGCTAATATCAAAATAACAAATTGAAATGTTATTTCCTGTACACTGAACGAGTAGACTGGCTCATAGTTTGCAAAATTATTATTTTATTTTTGTTCTGGAAATGGTCCTCAATTTTGAATTGTCAATATAAAAGCTGGATTAACATCTAAAAAATTCCGAGTCATTTATAGTGTTAGCTTGCCTGAGGTTGTTTCACCCTAATATAAATATATATATGTTGTCAAGTTATAAATACATCAGGGTTGCCAACCTCTTAGGAGTCCAGTGTGGGAGATCTCCCTCCACTGGGTTTTCTTAAGTGTGAGACTTTTGACGGCGTCGTGTATTAACGTCGTTTTCAGTGTTAAGATATAACATTTACAAATGTATCAAACAAATCCTAGCTTTCTCTGACTACTATAACATCTGCATTGTTGATATTTTCACTTCAAGATCTTTGTAGGAAATAAAACAAAACATTTTTTGCAGATATATATAAGATTTTTATTATTTATCACACAAAAAAAAATCAAAAGCCTTATTCTTGTAACAATTCCACCCTTGGCTAGAACATGTACCAGTCTTTTTATTCTGTTTTTCCATGACCTGTTAAAAAAATAACAGTTTATATAGTAACATGAACAAGTTCATTAGCATGAAAGATAAAAAAAAAAATGATAATTTGACAGTGGAAAAATATTTTCTAATTACTTCTGGCTACTATGTGTTAAGTACACTCACAAAACAAATTATTTTGGAAAAACTGCACATGTGACAGAAAAATATATTAAATAGCAACAATGATTTAACACACCAGAGACTTGTAGGAATAAAAGTAGAGGTAGTCCAACACATAATCATGCAACAATTCTATTGAATCGGATTGAAAACGTGGTATAAATGATAAAGGTCTATTTGTTGCTAAGGATATCCTAAGCAACAAATTGACCCTTATCATTTATCCCACGTTTGCAATCCGATTCAATAGAATTGTTGCATGATTATGTGTTGGACTACTTACCTACTATGTCTATCCAACATGCCAAAGCACTTCCCGAAACTCCTAACTTTTTCATCGCATCAGATTAAAATTGTTTATTCCTACAAGGAATTCAGATTGTAATTAATGTTTGGTTTAATTTACATGTACAATGTACTTAAAAAAATCAAATATTTTTTCTCTTTTTTTTTTTCTCCAGCTGCAAGGTGTAAAGATCTTTATCCTTCTGTATAAAGAAATGACGATGGCAGTCAATCTGCAGAGTATTTACAGTAAACATGTGCTAATGAACAAGTGTCCTGAAAATATCAAGGTATATTTACTGTCATCCAGTACAGGGACTGCTCTTTAATGTTAACTGAATATAAAAACTTCTAAACAGATTAGTACTATTGCTTTGACATCTGTTAACAGAAATAACGCTCATTACATGTGTTGATGTCAAGCCAGTATATTAAATCACAAACAAGATGATTTTTTATTCAATGTTCACATGTCAAGGGAGGTTACACTACTAGTCTTGCTTGAGTGTAAAGCCTTTCAAGTTTGTATTTGATAATTCAGTGTTTCTTTACGACATACCGTAAAAATTGCATGTTTTCTGGTAGTGACAACGGTACAAAAAATACAAAGGGATGAAATTATTTATTGAAAACTTACAAAATGGCACAAAATGATGAAATGCAGGTAATCCTCGATATAATGCCCCTCATTCTATTTGCCACCTCATTTACTGCCAGCACATTTCAATGTCCCTTTTCTTGTCTTTAAATATTTTCGTTATATGTTTCCCTCAATCTATTGCCAAACCCCTTTATAATGCCAAAATTTCTCTAGATAAATTGTGGCATTATAACAAGGTTAATATTTTACTGAAAATTATTGATATTATAGCTTCTGTCAGATCTGCACTTTTCCTTATACTTTTGAATAATGCACTACAATAAGCCTTTTATGACCTTTGACCTTGACTTGACCCTAGGTCCTTAGGCATCCTGACCACATTGGGACTGGCGTCCTGCTCTGGGCTCACCATGAGAAGCTGGTTGTTGTGGACCAGAAGATTGCCTTTGTTGGTGGCATTGATCTCTGCTACGGACGCTGGGACAATGAACGCCATAAGTATGTGCTAAGATTTGGAGTTGTCTCCACCTGGCAAGATCTATGCACAATTAAAAGTACATAATATGGTGATGGCAGGGCCGGGTTTAATGTCTCACAAAAAATGTACAGAAATATTTGCCATGAAAACAAAAAACAGACATTGACATAAGAAGATATTCAAGTTACATATATTTTCAAACTTTGAGGTGTTCATATTAGTTCGGTAGCTATTGATATTGACAATGACTGTTTTAAAATGATATGAAAACAGCATGGGAAAATATATTCTGTGGGCATTACTGATGTTTATTTCATTACAGACTAACTGACCTGGGATGTATTGTCTATGAATCAACGAATCAGAATTCACAAAAAGAAATGAAGGTAATTATGTACAACTTTGGACTTTTGTGATGGTAAATAATATAGTGATATAAACCTGAAAAAGTCATATTGAGCGAGGTTTGGATGTGAGGTTATTGGCCATGATGTATTTCTGCTTTCAAATTGTACAGTCATGCTGACCCATACAGTATAGTATTGATGTTTAACAATAACCAAACATAAAATTATAGCCTTCAAATATTTTTCTATCTGATGGCTGTTATTTTCCCCTTGCATCAAGTTAAATCAAGGAGATATATAGGATTTCGCTCGTACGCATGCACGTACGTATTTTACACTCTCTGTCATCGCTCTAGTTACGGAATTTCATGAAACTTCATACAAGTGATTGGTATGACAATAGCTTGAACGAGTTCGTGTTTCAGGTAGGTGCCTTGAAAGTCAAGGTCACTGTTACTATTTTAAGAAAAACTTTCAACGATCTTTAGCGACTTTATTACTTAACTAAATTTGATGAAACTTGAAAGAAGTGTTTGTTATTACCTTGAATAAGTTTGTGTTTTGGGTAACTGTATTGAAGGTCAAGGTCACTTACTATTTTTAGAAACCTTTGTCATGGATCTATCAACTTCAATCTTCAATGGAATTTCATTTAACTTCATACAAGTGTTTGGTATGGCAATGCCTAGAACAGGTTTCCGTTTCAGGTTTCTACTTGGAAAGTCATGGTCACTAAGTTACTATTTTTAGAAAAACTTTGTCATTGCTCTAGCCACTTCATTCCTTAAGGTCATTGGAGTGTATTGATAAAACGGAAACAGGAAGTACATTCCTAGTTGAATATCCAATGTAGGGAGACGGCATCACAATTTCTTCAAATTCTAATGTTAAATATTAAATTGATGAATATTGTATGTTTTTTATTGACAGAACAGGGATTTATTCAGGTGTTTTTTATCAATGAGTCACATGTGTCCATTTTTCTGTACTTCAGGAAACCAGCTACCTATTTCACTAATGTGAAGTTTTTCAAGAACGATAACTCTTACCTGCAATTACTATGTGTATATGGTTTTATTATAAAATGTCAATTTTTATATCGTCTATAGAGTATTAATTTTACACAATTTCAGCATTTATGAAATTGATATACATTAATGCAATACTAATATATGTCAGTATCATTTTTATTGACATCATTTTGTAAAAATATTGTGTCTATCATTTTTTTTTCAAAATTCACTCCTTTTTACATAAATTGCCATTTAAAATCCTTAAAATTCTGACAACCTATACTTTTTTTGTGGCAGAAAGTTTTCTTTACTTTAAAGCAATATAACTACAAAATTTGAAGAAATTCTACTGAGAAATGGTGACACAATCCTATTACCTTAATCAAATTTCTTGAAACTTCATAGAAGTGTTTGGTATGGCACTTAATGCCTTGAACAAGTTCACATGTCAGGTTTCTTCATTGAAGATCAAGGTCACTGTTACTATTTTTAGAAAAACATTGCAATCGCTTCAGCTACTTCATTCCTAAACGAAATTTCATGAAATTCCTACATATATACACAATGTGGATATGTATCACTTGTGATGACTTGTTAGCGGTAGAAATGCAGGGGATTCCCTTTAGTTTTAGTTTAAGCCTTTAAATAGTCAACATGGAGGTAAAGTTATAATAAGATTGTTTCATGCTTTTGTTTGAAACTTTTTCAAACAGTACTAATTTTTTTGCTACTAGTCCTTTACAGCTAAGAGGATTTTGACCAAATTTAGTCTGGAGCATCATTGGCCAAAGGGTTCTCAGTTTTGTATAAACGGAGGGTATGGTCCACCTGGGCGCAGAGGGGCAGGGACAAATATGGGGAAAATAGGTAAATCTTTAAAAATCTTCTTCTTCTCAACCAATAGAAGGATTTTGACCAAATTTGTTCAAGATGATCTTTGGACAAAGGAGCCTCAAGTTTGTATAAACGGAGGGTGTGGCCCCTCTGGGGGTGGAGCCCAATAGGGGAAAAAGAGGAATTGTTTTCTCCTACTATACCAGTGAAGGGATTTAAACCAAATGCAGTCTGAAGCATGCTTAGGGGAAAATAACTCAATTTGTTTAATTTGTATAAAAAGGTGCATGTGAGGCCCAATAGGGGAAATAAAGGAAAATTTGGACATAACATGGAAACTCATTTTCTTGGTGTCTTTCACACCAAAACAGATTTATATGTAGTTCTTCTTGCAACTTTGTTTATTGTACATATTAAAACCCCCATAAAATTTAACGAACAATGAGACAAAATAAAATCTGTTACAAGAATTATAGTTTATAGTGTCATTAATATATACTTAAAAATGAATATTTTATATTTAAGGTAAAATTACAATCTCAGGAAAATGTGGAGGAGGAGGAGGAAGAAGTTTTGGACCAATCAGGAATTTCCCTGAAAATCAGTCCTCCAAGTCCAATTTCCTCACCTAGTGAAGAGGAAGCACAAATCATTCCACCACCAGGGGTCAGCACTGAACAGGAAGTGAAAAAAGTGGAAGCCGTTCCAGTGGACAAAGAAGAAGAGAAGACAGATGGAAACGATTCAGACGAATGTAGTTGTCACAAATGTCGAACTTCTGAAAATCGTCATAGTTACTCAAACTCTTCAATGGAGGAGGAAGAATATGCATTATTGTTGAAATCTGAGAAAAAGGGGGACGCAAATGTAGAAAGTTCTGACTCGGACAATCAGGAGGTCATAAAGGCCTTGATACATCATGATAGCCAAGGTTCCAGGCCACTTGATGAAATGTCAAGGCCAAATGGAACCCTGGTTACATCAAATGTTTGTGAGGAAGGGGACTTACAAAGGAAATCTGATACTGTGTCTGCTCAAGAAGAAGAAGAAGAGAAGGTTACGAATGGCAAGTCAACAGACTGTGTTAAATTAATGTCAAAGAAAAATAAGGATAGAGTAATAAGTGAGGAAACTAGGAAGGTGAATTTTTCTGAGAGTATATCAGTCCAATCTGATTCTGTTAAAAGTACAGGAACCACAAGTCCTCCAAAAAGACACATGTGGAGTTTTGGTGGTACAAGAACATCCACTGCTAAAGCAGGTAAAAGTGTCGAATTTTCAAGTAATGTTGTTGATAATTCAACAGACTCGCAACCACGAGACAAAAATGTGCAATTGAAAAGTTTCAAACAATTGACTTCTAGTAAATATACTGTGGATGAAAATGGTGACTCACGTCTAACAGAAGAGGAAGACAAAGGACTAACAATGAGGCCACACATCGAATCTCAAGGGGAGGGTAGTAAGGAGGGTGGTGGTAGGGATAGCTGGGCCTTGAGAAAGCTACGCCGGTCGTTACAGCGACACCGAGAACCAAACAACAACAATGGCGATCAGACCGACCACAGCGAGGACAACGAACACTTGATGCGTAAATGGAAGCTTGTGCTAAACATACAGAAATTCGAGTCAGCGGTTCGCCGACCACAAGAGAAAACACCTCTACCAGAAGGAGAAGAAAAAATGCCTCATTCACCAGTACGATTAAGAGATAAAATTGTGAGTCTGTCTCGTAGTTATTATATCGTCTTTTATTTTGATTTGCGACTCACGTCTGGAATGAAATATAAACTGTATCTGTTAACACCATAAATCTAGTAGTTAATTAAGGTTATACGCTACCTTACTGTGATGTGCATTGTAAATCTGCCCAAAAGAGTTCCAGACTAAGATTTATGTAATCCATCTTCTATAAATATAACTGTCGTGATGAAACTGAAAGCAGTTTCAAGGGAGAAAATTCTTTCTCACACCACAGAAAGGAATGTCATGTTATACCCTGTGCTAGATATGTTGATCTTGTCCGTTCTATCAGTTAGCACCTTTACATGACATTTGATGCCATTTCATTCTTTTTTCTTATTTTTTCTTATCCCCTGCTTTCACCAAAACGGGGGATATTAATTTGTGTTTGTCCGTCTGTCTGTCTGTCACGCTTCATTTCCGTGCAATAACTGCAACAAATGTTAACCAATTTTCTTCAAACTTGGTAACAGGTTTAAATATCCTAAGGCTCGACCAAGTTCGATGACCACTTTCAGCGGACTTTATTTTGCGGAGTTATGGCCCCTTGAATAACGAAAAACATCATTATCTGCCTTCTCCGTGCAATAACGGCAACAAATGTTAACCGATTTTCTTCAAACTTTGTAACAGGGTTAAATGTTGTATGGGCTCGGCCAAGTTCGATGACCATTTTCAGCAGACTTTTTTAAGCGGAGTTATGGCCCCTTGAATAACGAAAAACGTCATCTGCCATTTCCGTGCAATAACTGCAACAAATGTTAACCAATTTTCTACAAACTTGGTACCAGGGTTAAATGCCTTAAGGCCTCGGCCAAGTTCGATGACCACTTTCAGCGGACTTGTTTTGGTGGAGTTATGGCGCCTTGATTAACGAAAACGTCATTATCTGCAGTTTCTGCTTAATAACTCTTGCAAATATTAGCCAAATTCCTTCAAATTTGATAACAATGTTTGTGTTCCTCTGTCTTTCCACCCATCTCGGGTACTCTTTGGTTTTCGTGTCATAATTGCTGTATATATTGACATTGTGCAGATATTTCAACCAAATTCCGTATGCACATCTGATTCATGCTAACTGCCAACCGATGTGATTTGTGCATATTTACGGATAATTAATGAGGTATAAGTCTTTTTTTTCTTCAAGTTTTAAGCTTTACATGATGTCTCAACAGCACGATACTCACATGTAAAACCTAACCTCAATAATGTTTACCTACAATATGTCCTGCAAGCGGGGGCTATAAATTCCACGAATTTGCTTGTTTATCATTTAATGGAGATTATATCAATGTTATTTACTTAAGGGTATTAATATAATATAATTTACACGGTGAAATATAGTTTTCTGTTCATATACATATGCACAGACTATTTTATGTACACTAAAACATTCAAAGGGAGTATTGCCAGGGCAATGTTAAATTGAGTTCTAAGTCAGGATCCTCGTCAATTTCAATGAATTAAAAAAGATATTTGAACTGATCTATGATAAGGTGTGAGAAAAAAAGATAATTTTCCTGTTTCTAAGTGAGATTGGGTTATCTCTGTCCCGGGGTAAGATCTGTAACATCCCAACTCCAGCTTGTGCCTTGGCTGGGTTTACGTTAAGTTACACAATGTCATTATCATACCTGCCAACTCTTCCTATTTTTGAGGGAGTCTCCCAAATTTTGACTCTTAAATTTTAACATTTTCAACCAAGGAATTTTTGCTACTCTTTACATGTGTTCCGAGATAATGATTTTTACCTGAAATACAAAATCTACACCATAGAGTTTTCCAAATGTTGACAAGTATGCAATATAAAAACAGTTTTTAAAGTTAAATATATCAATGCGAGTTATTTTATATTTACAGAGACACAATTTACAAGAGAAGTTCAAAAGCTATCACCATCGTGACAGCCTCACAAGTTTGGATGAAATGTACATAAAAGATGAGTATGTATCTACTTTAACGTTTTTCAACAGAATATAATGTGGAGAAGCTAGAAAAAATGTCCGTGTCACCCTGGTAAAATATTAACCACTTCATACCGGCTCGGCTAGGGAGAACATGCATGGATCCCTCGACTTGTTCTACCAAATTCTCCAGAGGTCAGCCTCGATCGGCCCCAGTTATCTGTGCCTATCATTTTTTTGGCTGATTTATCCAATTTATGTGGTAAATCTGACAAACAAATGTGGCCCAGGTTTATAACGAACCCCTGTGAAATTAAGAAATCAGTTAAATATAGGTAGAATCCCTTTCAGTTTGATTTTATGAAACAGTATCAGGACTGCTTTAGATTTATATAGTTAGAATGTTGACAGTGAATGATAAAAAAAAAAAAACAGTATAATTCCTATTTACCTAATGAAAATAATTTCTAGGTTGAAACCTGGAGAGCTGAAGCGAACCAGCAGTGAAATAAATATTGATGAGCTGGGATTGAAAGGATCCTCGAAGCTTTGGATTGGCAAAGACTATGTCAACTTTATATTCAAAGACTTTCAGAACCTAGAGAGGCCATTTGAAGGTAATATAAAATAATTTGGTAAAGTGAAGAAGAAATGCTTCAAAATTGAAAAAGAATGTTGAATGGAATTTATTTTGATATCTGCTTCTTAAAGTAAGGATCCATGTACCAAAAACTGTAACCAAGTATTGTCTACTTAAAGATCCCTGTACCAAAAAATGTAACAAAGTATTGTCTACTTAAGGATCCCTGTACCAAAAAATGTAACAAAGTATTGTCTTCTTAAGGATCCCCGTACCAAAAACTATAACAAAGTATTGGCTACTTAAGGATCCCTGTACCAAAAACTGTAACAAAGTATTGTCTTTTTAAGGATCCCCGTACCAAAAACTTTAACAAAGTATTGTCTACTTAAGGATCCCCGTACCAAAAACTGTAACAAATTATTGTCTACTTAAGGATCCCCATACCATAAACTGTAACAAAGTATTGTCTACTTAAGGATCCCCGTACCAAAAACTGTAACAAAGTATTGTCTACTTAAGGATCCCCGTACCAAAAACTGTAACAAAGTATTGTCTACTTAAGGATCCCCGTACCAAAAACTGTAACAAAGTATTGTCTACTTAAGGATCCCCGTACCAAAAACTGTAACAAAGTATTGTCTACTTAAGGATCCCCGTGCCAAAAACTGTAACAAAGTATTGTCTACTTAAGGATCCCCGTACCAAAAACTGTAACAAAGTATTGTCTACTTAAGGATCCCCGTACCAAAAACTGTAACAAAGTATTGTCTACTTAAGGATCCCCGTACCAAAAACTGTAACAAAGTATTGTCTACTTAAGGATCCCCGTACCAAAAACTGTAACAAAGTATTGTCTACTTAAGGATCCCCGTACCAAAAACTGTAACAAAGTATTGTCTACTTAAGGATCCCCGTACCAAAAACTGTAACAAAGTATTGTCTACTTAAGGATCCCCGTACCAAAAACTGTAACAAAGTATTGTCTACTTAAGGATCCCCGTACCAAAAACTGTAACAAAGTATTGTCTACTTAAGGATCCCCGTACCAAAAACTGTAACAAAGTATTGTCTACTTAAGGATCCCCGTACCAAAAACTGTAACAAAGTATTGTCTACTTAAGGATCCCCGTACCAAAAACTGTAACAAAGTATTGTCTACTTAAGGATCCCCGTACCAAAAACTGTAACAAAGTATTGTCTACTTAAGGATCCCCGTACCAAAAACTGTAACAAAGTATTGTCTACTTAAGGATCCCCGTACCAAAAACTGTAACAAAGTATTGTCTACTTAAGGATCCCCGTACCAAAAACTGTAACAAAGTATTGTCTACTTAAGGATCCCCGTACCAAAAACTGTAACAAAGTATTGTCTACTTAAGGATCCCCGTACCAAAAACTGTAACAAAGTATTGTCTACTTAAGGATCCCCGTACCAAAAACTGTAACAAAGTATTGTCTACTTAAGGATCCCCGTACCAAAAACTGTAACAAAGTATTGTCTACTTAAGGATCCCCGTACCAAAAACTGTAACAAAGTATTGTCTACTTAAGGATCCCCGTACCAAAAACTGTAACAAAGTATTGTCTACTTAAGGATCCCCGTACCAAAAACTGTAACAAAGTATTGTCTACTTAAGGATCCCCGTACCAAAAACTGTAACAAAGTATTGTCTACTTAAGGATCCCCGTACCAAAAACTGTAACAAAGTATTGTCTACTTAAGGATCCCCGTACCAAAAACTGTAACAAAGTATTGTCTACTTAAGGATCCCCGTACCAAAAACTGTAACAAAGTATTGTCTACTTAAGGATCCCCGTACCAAAAACTGTAACAAAGTATTGTCTACTTAAGGATCCCCGTACCAAAAACTGTAACAAAGTATTGTCTACTTAAGGATCCCCGTACCAAAAACTGTAACAAAGTATTGTCTACTTAAGGATCCCCGTACCAAAAACTGTAACAAAGTATTGTCTACTTAAGGATCCCCGTACCAAAAACTGTAACAAAGTATTGTCTACTTAAGGATCCCCGTACCAAAAACTGTAACAAAGTATTGTCTACTTAAGGATCCCCGTACCAAAAACTGTAACAAAGTATTGTCTACTTAAGGATCCCCGTACCAAAAACTGTAACAAAGTATTGTCTACTTAAGGATCCCCGTACCAAAAACTGTAACAAAGTATTGTCTACTTAAGGATCCCCGTACCAAAAACTGTAACAAAGTATTGTCTACTTAAGGATCCCCGTACCAAAAACTGTAACAAAGTATTGTCTACTTAAGGATCCCTGTACCAAAAACTGTAACAAAGTATTGTCTACTTAAGGATCCCTGTACCAAAAACTGTAACAAAGTATTGTCTACTTAAGGATCCCTGTACCAAAAACTGTAACAAAGTATTGTCTACTTAAGGATCCCTGTACCAAAAACTGTAACAAAGTATTGTCTACTTAAGGATCCCTGTACCAAAAACTGTAACAAAGTATTGTCTACTTAAGGATCCCCATAACAAAAAGTGTAACCAAGTATTGCCTTCTTAAGGATCTCCATACCAAAAACTGTATCAAAGTATTGTCTACTTAAGGATCCCTGTACCAAAAACTGTAACAAAGTATTGTCTACTTAAGGATCCCCGTACAAAAAACTGTAACAAAGTATTGTCTTCTTAAGGATCCCCGTACCAAAACTCTAACAAAGTATTGTCTACTTAAGGATCCTTGTACCAAAACTCTAACAAAGTATTGTCTACTTAAGGATCCCCGTACCAAAAACTGTAACAAAGTATTGTCTACTTAAGGATCCCCATACCAAAAACTGTAACAAAGTATTGTCTACTTAAGGATCCATGTACCAAAAAGTGTAACAAAGTATTGTCTACTTAAGGATCCCCATACCAAAAAGTGTAACCAAGTATTGTCTACTTAAAGATCCCCGTACCAAAAAATTGTAACAAAGTATTGGAAACTGGAAAATTGATTAAACAAAATCATCAACAGTGTTCTGATTGTAACAAAAAACACTGTGGGGATAGACCCCTGAACTTGAGACTGCTTTGCTATTGATTTAACTGATTGAGCTGCCTGCATGGTTGACTGAAATGACCAGGCCCAATTTGTTCTACAGCAATCCAAATGGAAGGTAAGGGGAGGTAACTGTATATAGGAAAGACCTTAGTGCAGTGAAACATTATAGTATCCTAAGTTATGTTGTTCGTTTCAATTATAATGAATATTTGAAGCATTTTATAATCTATGATATTTGTTAACTCATTTACCCCTGAATTTCATAATGAACTGTTCCATCCTTTGAATTTGAAGAGTTCAAATGTGTCTTCAAATTCAGGGGTAAATGAGTTAACAATTGTTTCAAATTGTGAACTTGTCCTGATGATTTTATCAAACGAAAAAACAAACTAAAGAAACCATGGCGTCATTGATGGAATTTCTGACATGTGTGGTTCATTGTTACAGATTTCATCGATAGATCTGCCACTCCCAGAATGCCCTGGCATGATATAGCCTCAGTGGTTTACGGAAAGGCTGCAAGAGATGTAGCAAGGCATTTTATTGGTCGCTGGAATTTTACAAAGGTATTTTTCTTTCTTTTTTTCAATTAGCCCACTAACTTCAGATGGTAGACTATTCTTAGTCTATGGTCCTTCCATCCTTCATTAATTTTCCATATTTCTCAGAAAGAAGTAGAGGATACTTAATCAAATTTGATATAAAAGTTCCCCATGGCCCCTAGTTACGTAAATTGAGTTTGGGGACCAAAAGGCAACCATCTTGAATTTTGAGAGTTGAATTTGTTAGGGCTCTTCCTTTGAAAGCTCTGGAGGGATCTTTCTAAAAGTTCAAATGTAACTTTCCTCATGGTCCTTAGTTTTGCAAGTTTTTTGGACTGACCGAAAACACAAGGATTCCGACAGGTGGCCATCTTGAATTATGAGAGTTAATATGATTGTAAGCGCTATTTCTCAGAAAGTACTGGAGGATATTTTTCAGATTTCACATGTAGTTTCCCCGTTGTCTATAGTTATGCATATTTAATCAGACTGATCTAATAACCAAAATGGCCTATATATACATAATGGCTTATCAAATTTCAAATTTAGTTTCTCCTTGTTACACACTTAAGTAAATAGTACAATGCTAGTAAATAGGTGAAAGAGCAATGTCATATACAGCAGTATGAAGTTTTGATCAAAAGTTACCACAAGGTGCATTTACTCTTTACATGACTCAATTCAACAGATAGGGGAGAAAAGAAGAGATCAGTCTTATATAGAACCAATGTAGATGGTAGAAGGGTGAAAATCAAGGTCCCTTTAGGATCTCTTTTCAGTTATATTAAAGATTTTATCAGCATTTAAGAGGTCATTACAAAACATTAAGTTCCTCAACATATTCCATGAATCACATTTTCAAGGAGTCTATTTAGAACAGAATGGTGTCTTAGCATTGATTTAATTATGAAGTGAATTAATCACATAGATTTTTGTGGTAAATAGATTTTTGTGGTAAATATATTTTTGTGAGGTTGCAGGTTTACCAGGTATTTGAAATAATAATGATCATTCACATGGTATGATTTTGTGAAGGAAATAAATTTATATCGAAAATATGTTCAAAGTTAGGTTTTAAATCGTTCCAGGTGGAGAAAGCAAAAAACAACCATGACTATCCTCTTCTGCTGCCCAAAGCTTACGGACACAACTACAAGATCCCACAGCTTGTCCTTGACCTCTGTGATGAGGTCAAAACCCAGGTGAGTTACCTTTAACCTCTGACCTCGTTAAGACTCTTTCAGATTTCGATACATTTGAAATTCATCTTATGTCAATTGTGATCATGAATTCACCAATGTTAAGGATGCAAATATGGAAATAAGATATTTGATATTTCCTAATATTGAACATAACATGAACAGTTCTTATGAGTTTATAACTTGAGCTAATAGATGATAACATTCGGGAAATATCTAGTTCTTCAGTATCTAATCTACTTGTATTCAATGATAAGTGCTGTGTATTTACATTATATTGTCATAATTAATATGCCTTAATATTTTGCCCAAAGATTCTAAGAAGTGGGTGTGCGTGGTCATGTGGTATTAGGACTACAGAAAACTCAATCCACGAGGCTTACGTGAGCTGTATACAGAATGCTAAACACTACATATACATAGAGGTGAGATTTCATTGATCTGAAAGTCAGAAACTCCAACTTAAATGTAGTGGCACCCTGGTAAAATACTAGCCACTTCCTACCAACTCGGCGATACTTTCACAAAAATCACCCCTGGAAAACTCGGGACGAGTTCTCCATGGAGGGGGAGTATGTCACCCTGGTAAAATACAAGCCGCTTCCTACCAACTCGGCTAGGGAGAATTTCTCTTTAGCTCATTCGGTAGAGCGGAAGATTAGTAAGCCAGAGTTCCCGGGTTCTACTCCTAGCGGAGGCATTGACAAAATAATGACAAGTATTGAAGGTAAATCATGCCCGGTCATGGTTATAGTTATGATATGTTAGTTTTACAGAAACTTCTACACGCCTTACCCATGGGTGGTTGTACATTCACAAATTCCAGAGTTAATCATGCTCTGCCCATGGTTGACTTTTGCGGGTTAATTGTACAGTCACATGTTCAAAAGTTAATCACACCCTTACCCGTGGTTTATTTTGAGGGGTTTATTCACAAGCGTTAAACTACTCTCTGGAATTTATGGCAATTTATCTCTCTTAAACTATCATATTCAATCTAATTAATGCCCCATCCTTAAGGTGCACAAATTGATCTTTTCTTGTCCAAATATCCTGTCCCTTCACCATTAGAAACTGACTTGTTTATTGTGTATATAGATTGTTGAGAATTTTTGGAAAATTTTGCTATCATTGTGAAGCCCCCAGAGCATTTATTAGATTTAATACAGTATCATGATCATTAAGCACTCATTGTGAGAAATTCCTTACATCCTGATATATAGCAGCCCTGTGTTAGAACTACCGATAGACCTGTTGGTAATCAGCATGAAAAACACCTCATCCTTTCAAATTGTCTGGGAAGTCATTTCCTATGATGTGTGTGATTTAATGATAAGTCTAGTTGTGAGAGAAAAGTGTTTAGTTAATTATCCCTCTTTGTTATTTTACACATTTTCTCAATTTCATGATGTCAAGCACTAAATATGCAAGTGAAATTTGCTTGGACAAGGTCTGGTCTATGAAAATTAAAGTAGGTCTAGAGGAAATTGATATTAAATAAACCTGTTGTCTGTGGTGTGTAAATTCTACATTCTAAGACTGTTAATAAATCAGCCTTAGGGGTGGATTTACCACGAAGGATACAGTCCGTAACAAAGGGAAAGGATATTTCAAGGCATCTATAGCAATCTACATTTTCTCTTTCTTATACCAGCTCTATCTTTTCTGTAATTACCTCCCTTGGTTTTGGACCACATTACTCTTTATACAGGACCCTTAAATGACATTATTGTGTCAAATGAGCCATTAAACCAATAACACAAAAAACGTTAGGTATAGCCATCATCTGTCATGTCTCTGAAATCAGGAGGTGGGCTTATTACTGAGCGTGGGTTTATACTCGGTAGTTTAACTAGTACAATAACTGTAGTTGTAAGTTTGATGTGAATGAACTCATGAAGGGTGTTTTGGAGAGATTAATACAATTTTGTTTTACTTTTCAGAATCAATTTTTTATTAGCCTGATTGGAGAAAGCCTCACTGTGAGGAACAAGATATCCGACACAATTTTCAAGAGGATAGTAAAAGCTCATAAGTAGGTGAAAGGGTGTTTTGTTATTTGTAGAAGCTAAAGTGGAATCCATCTTTCAACGGTATAACCAAAAACTTGGTTGGTATTAGCAGACATCAGCTCATTTCTCATCCACAGTGGTTCACATGGGTGGTTTGTCTATGATGGCGAGACATGTGATTTGTTGACAGAGGAAGTTTGTGTGGCGTAGTGGGACTGGACTGTCAGTCACCAGTGACAAGATAGCTCTAGATCTGTCGCAGAGCAACCTTTTACTGTGAAACCTGTCTTAACAGACCTCCAAGTCTGTCATAACCATCATACAGCTTTTGTTCCATTTCTTATAAAAAAAAACACCCTTATATCTGACACCATTACTAATCCAAACACAATGATAAATCCAAAGGGTACGTGTCAGATAAGCAGGTTTCACCGTAGAGCTAAAAGGATTTCAAATAATTTTAATTGTAAAGAGATCAATTTAGAGCTGAAAATGTCAGACAAGACAGATTTCACTGTAAGGTGACTGTATCAGATTAGAACGGTTTCATTGTAGATGTGGTGAAGTGTCGGATTAGACAGGTTTCATTGTATATGTGATGTGTCAGATTAAACAGGTTTCACTGTACATGTGATGTGTCAGATTAAACAGGTTTCACTATAAAGGTGACAGTGACAGATTAGACATGTTTCACCATAAAGATGACAGTGTCATATTAGACAGGTTTTGCTGTAGATGTGGTAAAGTGTCAGATTAGACAGGTTTCATTGTATATGTGATGTGTCAGATTAAACATGTTTCACTGCATATGTGATTTGTCAGATTAAACAGCTTTCACTGTAAAGGTGACAGTGATAGATTAGACAGGTTTCACCATAAAGATGACAGTGTCAGATAAGACAGGTTTCACTGTAAATATGACTGTCAGGTCAGACAGGTTTTACTGTAAAGGTGAGAGTGTCAGATTAGACAAGTTTCACTGTAAATGTGATGAAGTGTCAGATAAGACAGGTTTCACTATAAAGATGACTGTCAAATTAGACAAGTACTGTCACTGATAAGTTTGTGTCAGAAGAAAGTCAAAGATCTGAAGAGATGATCAAATGAATAAATGATGGGTGTTGAATGGTAGCAATGTTCTGAGAAATTATACATGTATTAACTCTAAGAATAAGAAAATATTTTGTGTAATTATACAAATCAATTTAGAATTAAGAGGTTTAGCTAGTTACAAATAGGACATTGTTTATGTAATACATTCTTTGTTTCCAATACATGAACGACTTGATTAAGGTAATAATCAATTTCAAAACCTTTTCCTATTGTTATAGAGAGCAGAAAGCTTTCCGTGTTTATGTTGTGATGCCGCTTCTGCCGGCATTTGAGGGAAACATTGCAGATTCCGGAGCTTATGCAATCAAAGCAGTCACACACTGGAACTACCTCTCCATTGCAAAGGGACCTAACTCTCTCTGGCAAAGGCTTGTCAAAGAAGGTATTAATTTGACGATACTTAAATAAAACTTTATGATATCTGAACCAGGCCTTTAATCCAAACAAGGGTTTAGGTCCCCGTATTGGAGATACATGTGCGGAATAGCAAGTAACCACAATGTCCTTCTGTCTGTCCAAACTTTTGTTTCTAGAGATTATATCAGAATCCAAATATCTTTTTTGAATTTTTACATGGTGATGCACTGTAATGTGAACAGGTTTGTAAGGTCAATGCCATTGTTACTGAGGGTACATTCCTTATCTCAGAATCCAGAAGGTCAATGTCATTGTTACTGGGAAGTACAGTCCTTATCTCAGAATCCAGAAGGTCAATGTCATTGTTACTGGGAGGTACAGTTCTTATCTTAGAATCCAGAAGGTCAATGTCATTGTTACTGGGGGGTACAGTCCTTATCTCAGAATCCAGAAGGTCAATGTCATTGTTACTGGAGAGTACAGTCCTTATTTCAGAATCCAGAAGGTCAATGCCATTGTTACTGGGAGGTACAGTTCTTATCTTAGAATCCAGAAGGTCAATGTCATTGTTACTGAGAGGTACAGTCCTTATCTTAGAATCCAGAAGGTCAATGTCATTGTTACTGAGAGGTACAGTCCTTATCTCAGAATCCAGAAGGTCAATGTCATTGTTACTGAGAGGTACAGTCCTTATCTCAGAATCCAGAAGGTCAATGTCATTGTTACTGGGAGGTACAGTCCTTATCTCAGAATCCAGAAGGTCAATGTCATTGTTACTGGGAGGTACAGTCCTTATCTCAGAATCCAGAAGGTCAATGTCATTGTTACTGGGAGGTACAGTCCTTATCTCAGAATCCAGAAGGTCAATGTCATTGTTACTGGGAGGTACAGTCCTTATCTCAGAATCCAGAAGGTCAATGTCATTGTTACTGGGAGGTACAGTCCTTATCTCAGAATCCAGAAGGTCAATGTCATTGTTACTGGGAAGTACAGTCCTTATCTCAGAATCCAGAAGGTCAATGTCATTGTTACTGGGAGGTACAGTTCTTATCTTAGACTCCAGAAGATCGATGTCATTGTTATACGGAGGTACAGTTCTTATCTTAGAATCCAGAAGGTCAATGTCATTGTTACTGCGAGGTACAGTTCTTATCTTAGACTCCAGAAGGTCAATGTCATTGTTACTGGGAGGCACAGTTCTTATCTTAGACTCCAGAAGATCGATGTCATTGTTACTGGGAGGAACAGTTCTTATCTTAGAATCCAGAAGGCAAATGTCATTGTTACTGGGAGGTACAGTCCTTATCTCAGAATCTAGAAGGTCAATGTCATTGTTACTGGGAGGTACAGTTCTTATCTTAGAATCCAGAAGGTCAATGACATTGTTACTGGGAGGTACAGTTCTTATCTTAGACTCCAGAAGATCGATGTCATTGTTACTGGGAGGTACAGTTCTTATCTTAGAATCCAGAAGGCAAATGTCATTGTTACTGGGAGGTACAGTCCTTATCTCAGAATCTAGAAGGTCAATGTCATTGTTACTAGGGGGTACAGTCCTTATTTTCATAATCGAGAAGACTGATCTTTTTCAAATCTAATATGGTGATAACACTATGACAGTAAGGAGTTTAAAAAAGTTCTAAGGTCAAGGTCAGTGTTACTAAAAATAAACCAGTCTGTTTGTGTGTCAGTACATAAAATATAATGTAAGACACATGATGGAGCTGTTACTGACCGGTCAGTGTTCTAGTTATCATGCAACAGTTATATCACTGTATTTGGAATCCAAGTTTTTTTTTCAATATGTATATTGACAGTGTTGGAGGCCTCCCTGGTCTTATTTAGCAGTCTTTTTATAATTCAAAATTCTATATTATATGTAGAACAAAATCAGTCTATCCAGCACATGTTTGTCTGTCAATTGCAATGTATGTCTGTCCAGTACTGCATGTCTGGTTATCTGTCAAGTATGTCTGTCCATCACTGTGAATCTCTGTCCAGTACTGTGTATGTCTGTCCAATCCTGTGTATGTCTGTGCAATACTTTGTATGTCTGTCCATCACTGTGAATCTTTGTCCAGTACTGTTTATGTTGGTCCAGCACTTTGTATGTCTGTCCAACACTGTGTATATCTGTCCATCACTGTATATGTCTGTCCAGTACTGTCTGGTTATCTGTCAAGTATGTCTGTCCAGCACTGTGAATCTCTGTCCAGTACTGTTTATGTTGGTCCAGCACTGTGTATGTCTGTCCAATACTTTGTATGTCTGTCCATCACTGTGAATCTCTGTCCAGTACTGTTTATGTTGGTCCAGCACTGTGTATGTCTGTCCAATACTGTGTATGTCTGTCTATCACTGTCAATCTCTGTCCAGTACTGTTTATGTTGGTCCAGCACTGTGTATATCTGTCCAATACTGTGTATGTCTGTCCAGCACTGTGTATGTCTGTCCAATACTGTGTATGTCTGTCCAGCACCTTGTATGTCTGTCCAATACTGTGTATGTCTGTCTATCACTGTGAATCTCTGTCCAGTACTGTTTATGTTGGTCCAGCACTGTGTATGTCTGTCCAATACTGTGTATGTCTGTGTATCACTGTGAATCTCTGTCCAGTACTGTTTATGTTGGTCTAGCACTGTGTATGTCTGTCCAATACTGTGTTTGTGTATCCAGTACTGTTTATGTTGTTCCAGCACTGTGTTTTTCTGTCCAGTCCTGTGTATGTCTGTCCAGTACTGTGTATGTCTGTCTAGCACTGCACATGTCTGTCCAGTACTGTTTATGTTGTTCCAGTACTGTGGATGTCTGTCCAGTACTGTGTATATCTGTCCAGCACTGTGAATGTATGTCCAGTACTGTGTATATCTGTCCAGCATAGTGCATGTCTGTCTGGTAGTGTTTATATCAGTCCAGTACTGTGTATGTCTGTCCAGTCCAGTTTATGTCTGTCAAGTACTGTGCATGTCTATCCAGTGAAGTGTATAATATGTCTAGTACTGTGTATATATGTCAAGTACTGTATGTATGTCCAATACTGTGTATGTAAGTCAAGTGCTGTGTCTGTCTGTCCAGTACTGTGTATGTCTGTCCAGTGCTGTTTATGTCTGTCTATTTGTGTGTATGTCTGTCCAGTGATGTATATGTCTGTCTAGTGCTGTATATGTCTGTCCAGTACTGTGTGTGTCTGTCCAGTTCTGTGTATGTCTGTCCAGTATTGTGTATGATTCTCCAGTACTGTCTATCCAGGACTGTCTGTCAATCTCTCCAGTATATCTGCCCAGTATGTCTGTTTAGCACTTTGTACTGGTACATGTATGTCTTTCCAGTGCTGTTTATGTCTATCAATGTCTGTCTGTCTGCTCTTCTGTATGTCTGTCTAGCACTACGTACTGGTATCTCTGTCAAGTACTATGTATGTCTGTTTTGCTCTGTGTACTGGTATGTCTGTTCAGTACTGTGTATGTCTCTCAAATGCTATATATGTCTGTCAAGTATGTCTGTCCAGTAATGTATACGTTTGTCCAGTACTGTATATGTTTGTCCAGTAATGTATATGTCTGTCCAGTACTGTATATGTCTGTCCAGTTTTGTGCATGTCTGTCCAGGACTGTCTGTCAATTTCTCCAGTATGTCTTTCCAGCACTTTGTACTGGTACGTCTTTCCAGTTCTGTCTGGCCAGTATGTCTGTCTGTCTAGTACATGTCTGTGTGTTCAGTGTAATATATGTCTGTCCAGTTAGGTATATCATGTGTGTTACAAGTGTTTGTTTTGATCTGTCAAGTATGTCTGTCTGTGTAGTACATGTCAGTCTGTTCAGTTCCTGTCTGTGTGTTCAGTGTAATATATGTCTGTCCAGTTAGGTATATCATGTGTGTTACAAGTGTTTGTTTTGATCTGTCAAGTATGTCTGTCTGTGTAGTACGTGTCAGTCTGTTCAGTTCCTGTCTGTGTGTTCAGTGTAATTTATGTCTGTCCAGTTAGATATGGCTGTCTGGTGATATTTGTATATCATGTGTGTTACTAGTGTTTGTTTTGATCTGTCAAGTCCGTCTGTCTGTCCAGTACATGTCTGTCTGTTCAGTTCCTGTATGTGTGTTCAGTGTAATATATGTCTGTCCAGTTAGATATGGCTGTCTGGGGATATATGTATATCATGTGTGTTACTAGTGTTTGTTTTGATCTGTCAAGTCCGTCTGTCTGTCCAGTACATGTCTGTCTGTTCAGTTCCTGTCTGTGTGTTCAGTGTAATTTATGTCTGTCCAGTTAGATATGGCTGTCTGGGGATATATGTATATCATGTGTGTTACAAGTGTTTGTTTTGATCTGGCCAGTATGTCTGTGTAGTACATGTCTGTCTGTTCAGTTCCTGTCTGTGTGTTCAGTGTAATATATGTCTGTCCAGTTAGATATAGCTGTCTTGTGATATATGTATATCATGTGTATTACAAGTGTTTGTTTTGATCTGTCCAGTATGTCTGTGTAGTACATGTCTGCCTGTTCAGTTCCTGTCTGTGTTCAGTGTAATATATGTCTGTCCAGTTATATATGTCTGTCTGGTTATATATGTATATCATGTGTGTTACATGTGTTTGTTTTGATCTGTCCAGTATGTCTGTGTAGTACTTGTCTGTGTGTTCAGTTTCTGTCTGTGTGTTCAGTGTAATATATGTCTGTCCAGTTAGATATGGCTGTCTGGTGATATATGTATATCATGTGTGTTACTAGTGTTTGTTTTGATCTGTCCAGTATGTCTGTCTGTGTAGTACATGTCTGTGTGTTCAGTGTAATACATGTCTGTCCAGTTAGATATGGCTGTCTGGTGATATATGTATATCATGTGTTACAAGTGTTTGTTTTGATCTTTCCAGTATGTCTGTCTGTGTAGTACATGTCTGTCTGTTCAGTTCCTGTCTGTGTGTTCAGTGTAATATATGTCTGTCCAGTTAGATATGGCTGTCTGGTGATATATGTATATCATGTGTGTTACAAGTGTTTGACTCACGATGTCTGCCAGGTTCGATCATTCCACTATTATCTGTCAGTCCAGTATATTGTCTTGATCTTTTTTTATCTGTTTGTCAGGTATTAATACTTCTATCCAATGTGCTTACTCTGGCTGGTACGACTGTAAATATTAAATAAACCTGGGTTGTTTGTCTTTCAGTGATTGACCCCATGAAGTACCTTGTATTCTGTGGGCTGCGGACACATGGGGAGCTAAGCGGAAAACTTGTAAGAATTTTATTTCACATTTTAATTCCTACAGTTCTTATGGTGTCAGTTAAATGGTAAATATATTCACAATTGAAAGTGATTAAATGCAATTCCATGTTGTGTTTCTTTGGTACTCCAGTTCCCTCCTGTATCAAAATCCCATGCACAGGTCCACCAGGGCCAAGAAGATTCATATAAGGTTATAACTTATTGTATCATTGCTTTGAAATAAAGTTTAATGAAACTACTTTAAATCACACTTAATATTCCTTGCTTGACAATGGAAACCAATGGGTTGTTGTTTTTTAAGAAAAAAGTATTATCCCCTTTGTTAGTTTTTTGTGCTATGTTTGTATTAAGTTGAGGGACTATATATTGTGAACATCATTGTGCCTTGTTTAAAGTAATTAAGTGGTTTTCTTATACTAATCTGTTTCCTTCACTAGGTGACAGAGCTGCTTTATGTACACAGCAAGTTGATGATCGTTGATGATGATAGTGTTATCATTGGGTCGGCCAACATCAACGACCGCAGCATGTCTGGAGAACGGGATAGTGAGGTCGCTGTGCTTGTAGAGGACATACACAAAACTGATGTTATGTTTAACGGATGTGTTCATCGTGTCGGCAAATTTGCTTCATCACTGCGCAAAAAACTCTTCAGGTAGATACTGCTAGCTGTGCCTAGGCCAAATCCTTGACTAACCTTAAATACACTCCCCCCCCCCGCAAAACATGATTTGCGAGTACATAAGTGACAAAGATTGTCAAGTACGAAATGTAGGTCACTATGACCTATGCTTTGACCTTATCCTTTGAAAAAAAAAATCTGGGGCATACGTTCTATACTGTTTCACTTGGAGTAACCAGATTTGGTATGTAACTATGTCTTGACTGGCAGAGTGCAGATTATAAAAGTATGTCAATCACTGTTACCTACATCCTGAGAATAGTTTGCATTGAAGTAAATAAAGAAATCATTACTGGTAGGGGACATTGGATGACCTTGCAATACTTTGCCTTGAAAGTAGAATGTGATTATATTACAATTGAATTACAAATGACAAATTTGCTGTGTGTTTTATGTGCTATTGCTTATCAGTTCTTATGTTATAGAGCCGTATATGATAAAAACAACTTATATTATGACCTATTATAGGATGTCCTATTTCATATATCAGCCCTCGACCCATACAAGCACTCGAGCCTCCGTCCCCTCGGGCTGATATGGGAGTCTTTGATACAGTGTATGATATTGAACATCTAAACAGCCTCTAAGTAGTGTGTTTTGAGTTGTTAACTGATTTTTCAAACTCTGGCCCATAGAGACAATGTTAAATATTATGTTAAAAAAATCCAGTTGTAATTTTGCTGTCATGTCTCTTTGATAGTGAACACCTGGGTCTTGCCCGAGATGACCCCTTGCTGGACGATCCAGTGTGTAACGAGTTCTACAAAAGTACCTGGATACAGCAAGCCACCATCAACACCACCATGTTCCAAAAGGTACGAGAATATAAACAGGTCATGTCTGTAGTAACAAATGAAAGTGAGCAAAATTTTGCCTTCAATTTTTTAAATTTTCATTACCTCACGGAAAAGTGGAAATTTTATACTCAAGAAAATTAGCGTATATATCGTAAAATTTCCATAGAAAAATAATTAGATCATCAATCAGGTAGTTCAATCACAGGTAACTAGTATGACAAACACATCCTTCCATTCCAGGTGTTCAACTGTTTTCCTGATGACAGGATCATGTCGTTTGCGGAGTTTGAAGAGTATCAGAAACAGACGGTCCTTGCAGAGACAGATCCACAGGAAGCAAAGAAATTATTGTCCAAGGTTAAAGGTTATGTTGTCTTGGTGCCATTAAACTTCCTGAAAATGGAAAATTCCATCATTCCAGTTGGCCGGGAATCGATCTTGCCAGTTTCTGTTTGGGTATGAGTGCTGACAATGGACAATCACTAACTTGTTAAGAAGCCTGCCAATTCCTTGTGATAAATGGAGATTGAATGGAAAAAAGTGGTGGAACATTTGTGATGGAATAATTAGAAGACGACTCATATTTAATGTTCATTTGTTGTAAACATGCAAGGTTACTCTAATATGCAAAAGTAGTTTCCCCTTGGTCCTTAGTTGTGTATGTTTAATTTTGAGACTGATCGGAAAAAACAAGATGGGTGACATAGCAGCCATCTTGGATTTTGTAAGGTTACTCTAACATATGCAAAAGAAGTTTCTAACAACGTTAACAGCTAGTGAACTTCAATTATTAAGAAAGTGATTATAGTATTTTTAAGCATTCACTGATTTGTTATAAGATGTTTTGAAAGTTTAGATTCAAAAAGTGACAAAATGACACTGTGGAATGACACTTTATTTATTGTGATGTCATTATCAACTGTCAGTTATGACGTAGTTTTTTGTGACCTTTAGAAAAATATTTTTATGGTAAGTTTCCCTTTTATCCTGATTGCAAAATTTGATGTTTATGTTTGAAGCAACAGTCTCGTAGTTCTAATTTGCAAAGCTATTGTTTTCATGTTCGTAGTGATGTTATAACAGAATTTGATTTATTTGTTCAGACAATGAATTGATTGCTAACTAGAGTACACACAAAAAAAAAACTTCTGACACATTGCCTACGATCTCCTGATCACCTACCCTTACTTTGGACATTTTTGCAGATCTCCTTAAATTATCTCTAATGTATATTTTTATGTTTGATACTTTTGTTAAAATTACATTCCAAAAGCTTACTATGTGATACAGAACACAAAGAGGAAGGTAATTTCTGTACAAAATTTTCTCGATATTTTTCTAGACACAAATTCAAATACACTGTCATTTTCTATACAAATAAAATAATTGCTGATTTAATAACACTGCATATTTGTGTGATAAAAATTTGTCATCACACGGAATTTCAGGTCTTACTTAATTTGAAAGATGTTCAATTGCTAGAATTTTTTCCTAAAAAAGTTTGAGGAACAATTTATAATGTCAGATTATGTATTTATTTTTATTCCTTTTAAAATTTCTAGATCATTCCATTCAGTAATTTTTATGTTAATTTTATTTTTTGTTTTTGAAATTACTTTTACAATAATGCCAAATGTTATGTTTACGAAATTATGTTATACATAGAATTTTATCATTTAATCATATTTCTGTATAATAATGCTGTATTAATCGAACTGCTGTTGACATGTTGCCAGGAGATCTTGCTGAAGAACGTGTCGCCAAAATCATAAAATACAGCAGGGGAGGGCTTTGTTCATGTCTGATAAGTACATCGTTTAAGGAGTGTTAGACCAGGATGCCTTTGATAGTACACAGTTTAAGGAGCGTTAGTCCTTCAAGCGTTTGTTACGTACATCGTTTAGGGCACGATATTCCATGAAGTGTCTTACATCGTTGAGATCTCGTTATACTGTTTATAATTAGCGGTATGTTAATTCATCAGTAAATAAACATTTTACAGAGAAGTACTATGGCATTCTCAAGTCATTGAAAATGGCTCCAGAGTAGGGCGATTAAAGTGCCTTCTTAATATGCCTAATTGTGTTCATCAGAGTATGTTTACCATCATTTTTTAGCAATTTTATTACAATTGTAGACATTTAACTTATTGTTCAACATGCAACGATGTCACCTGACTTACCTGCATGGTAATTGTAGTAAAAAGCCAAGCGCTTTATTCATAATTAGTTGATTCACTGAAGTATGGCTGAAGTCAACCCAATGACAACAGACACACTCAATTTTGCTCAAACTGTGAAACAAATTATCCGCCATATTTGATGGCATAATTCTATATATAAACATTGTACACATACATAGTATTGTACATTATATTGACTGTTTTCATATGAATTGACGACGCCATCATTGTTTGTTTCTGTGATCATCACCTTAGTGTGATACATGTGTGTCACAAATAATTACAGCTTCGTGCCAAATATATTCATGATTTGCCCTGTATATCTCTTATATCTTTATCTTTTTTCCTTGAATTTTTCTTAGAGCTAATTATTGCTTTACTGAAATGATATTGGACATCCTGAAAGAAAATTGACTGATTATTTTCAGATTTTCCGATAAAAGACTTGTAAGATATGGCAAAGTTGTAGCAAAGTTGATTTCTATGAATATCTGTCATACCTCAAAATCAGTCTATACAAATATATAAAAGTTGTTTCAGATTATTATTTAGAAACCTATCTTTCAGGATGTGAACTTTTATTTCAATGGCGCTATATAATTAGCCCCAGGAAAATTAATATGTGAAACGGTAAAGGTAGACTAAATTTGGGCAAATCGCAAATACTTTCAGCACAATGCTTGTTTATATCCGGTATTTGAGAATCACTGCCATGCTGTGTGTGCATTTAATATCATTATTTGTTATGGATATGTGTGCTTCATCATGCATTGCTCATTAGTACTGGAGGTTATAGCTCAATAAACCACAAGTTCAACTCTCACACACATTTTATGATTTCCTTTCTAGCAATGTCTCAAATTTATGTATTTCATAAACTGGCGAAAAAAGCGAAATCAATATTCAAAACACTACAATAAAAGCTAATGTCAGATCTAAATCACTCTGACATTTAGAATATGTAGTAACATTTGTTGATTTTTTCCCTATTGTTAAAATTATATAATATCAGGTATGTTTCAACTAACGAAAATATCATTTCATTTCAACTTCAGTTTTTCCAGGAATCACTTTTCGGATGAAAAAAAAAAGATAAAGCACTTTTCAGCACTGAAACTACAGTGGTTCATGAGCTCTCAATTGTTTGTCTTGTAGGAGTTACTACAACTCCCAACGTGAAGGGCTTCAGGTCTCAGACCTTTATCAGAGACTTCAGATAATTGTAGGAGCATTGTTTATTCTGGAGTAACCATTGTATTATAATTGCTTTGCTGTATTTGACTTGTTCTATATATATATACATTCAAGCACAGTAGGAGTCGCAGAATCAACTGATTAATTCATTTCTTTTTACATCATTTTTTCATCTTTATGCTAGTGGAAGTTTTATTTTCTAATTTTAAATTTTGATTTGCTCAAATAGTTCTGTTCATGAACATTCTATGACATTCCATACCCATTTCCAAAGTGATATTTTGATTTCCATGTGATTATATGAAGCTGAAGGTTATTGATATCGGTGTCAAAATATATATTTTCCTATTGATACAGATTCTTTATGTGTTGTTTAAGGTGTGAAAGGAAATAAAAAATGTGTGATTTTGTTCCTGATGAGATTGAGGCAATGTTATATATAAGTCACTTTACCTTAGTCATCTTATATATCATCTTAAAGATGACCTGGATCATTTATGTTATGTCATTTGTTGTGTATTTCTTCATTACCGTGAACTTTAATACAAATTAATTATTTTGTTGTCTTAATTTTGAATATTGATTGAAACTGGTTCTTTCACTTCTTATTCAACTTTTTGCCAATTTGGAATAAATATTTCACCAAATTTCGTAAATTATAATTAGTCAATATATTTCATTACATCTTAATTCAGTGCAGGAGAATTGTTTTAACGTATTTTATGCAACATGTTCTTGTTAACTCATAGCCTTTTATAAGCTATACAGAATACCAAAAGGGAGGTAATGCTAGTCAACATTTTCCTAAAATAATTAATTTCACCAAATTTTACTTGTGCTTGTAATTAAATGATACAGGGAATCCATGTGCTCAATATCAAAGGCTGTTCTGTTGATTAACAATGCTATTTTTCCAAATCTTACAAAATAACTCTATCAATAATTGAAGTTGATATTTCATGGGATAAGGCTTGCATATGTAACTCCTGACCTCTTATTTTAAGTGAAAAATTGCAGTCAAGACACATTATTTTTACTGTCATTTAATTGAAAATTTCTTATAATAATATTTCATTTTAAAATTGCAGGTATAAATTATTTGCAATTAAAGAGTTAAAATTATATATCATGAAAATTAACTCCAATGTATATCTACAATTGTATTACATATCATTCTAACATCGTTAAGTTATAATAAATGCTTGGAAATAATCGAATGGCTTTGAGTCTTTTTGCAAGTAGTGGGTTTACTTACAATAAAATGATTTAAATTTTCAAAATATTTTATCTTTACCAGTTACATATACCAAATATCCAGGTATCACTAGACTGTCCAGAAGATGTACAAAATGTGATTCTTTTCATCGTCTTTTTAATTGTCATTTCATTTGCATTGAGACATCACATCATAAAGAGCTACGTGTATGGATGGTTTTGATTTGTTTTACATATAAAACACATCATATTTTTGAACATTTCTGATATAAACAAGAGGCCCAATGGCCTTTATCTGTCACCTGAGTTGTAATATAATAATTCTACATAGTTGAGATGTGAAGTTGAAATTATCCTGTAAACCATAAAAAAAAACAAAAAAAAACAAGTGGCCCAGAGGTCCTGTTTCACACCCAGCAATTGTATAAATGGCTATGGATTTGGGATCTCAACCATTTCAAAATTATGACCCAAGAATGAAGTCCCTGGGGGTAGGGCCAGACTCAAGGTTCAATACTAATATCATGATTGTGTTCGTCATTTAATGCAAAGCAATGGTATATATGGTTATGGGGTGGGTATCTCAACCGTTTCAAGTTATGACACAAGAATTAAGTCCCTAGTGCTTTAAAGCATGCTCAGGTAGTGAGGATTCAAAATTGTACCAATTTCAGGGCTGACCCCGGGATCTGAGGGGCGGAGCCAAAAAGAATTTTAACTTTGACATTATCAAGATCCCCACCCTATAAGCATGTATACAATTGCTGAGAATCAAGAAACAAACATAATTAAGATTTAAGAACTGACCCTGAGGTCTTGCCCCACCCACATGGACTTAATTCCTGAGCAATAACTTGGTAGCGGTTGAGATCCCAATCCCATTGCTATTTATACCATTGCTGAGAATCAAGACACGAACACAATTCTAATATTAGGACTGATCCTAAGGTCTGACCTACCCCTAGGCTCCACCCTTTCGCAATTAACCAGCAGAATTCAATGAAAGTTTCACATAATGGTTATGTAACTATGTAGAGATGATTAAATGGTTATGTCACTATGTAGATATGATTTTATGAAAAGCTATCGTATGGTATGCCGTTATCACTTGCACGCACATGCACTTGCATTTTATAGGGATATTAATATTTTATAAACCACTTATTTCACAGAGGTATTGTAATTGCATTTGTGAAATTATTTATCTCGCAGAGCGTAACTCGCTCAACAACAAAAGTCGTAGCAACCCAGAGCTTGTGAACTACTGCTAGAACGTGATATGTACAGGTGAAGTCGGTAAACAAAACACATCAGTTTGCATTCCATGCGCCTCATATACGACCTTCTTGAAGTTGTCTGCTCTTATGTCAGTGTCTTCCCGTGAGTTAATTAATGTCTTTGTATCGTAAGCTTTATTTCTGAAGTTCGTGTGGCTACACATTTCCAAGTTTCTTTCCTTTCTGGTCCCACCCCTTAGCTCCCGGGAGGGTCATGCCCTTCATTTGTACGATTTTGAATACCCACTTTCTTAGGCTGCTTCCCACCAAATATGGTCGATATCTTTCTCTTAGTTTCAGAGTTCAAGAAGAAGTCGCTCAAAGCAATAAGGCCAAATTACCCCTTTCTGGCCCCGCAACTCACCTCCCTTGACTCAGGCCCTTCAATAATATTTGTATGTACCCACCATCTGAGGATGCTTCCATTCAAATATAGCCGATGTATGCCGGGGAGGGGGTCTGCCCCCTCCATTTGTACAATTTAAAATCTCCACCACCTAAGGATGCTTCAAGTCAAACGGACAGACGACGGGCAGGAGGGCTGTAACCCTTTAGACCAGCTGAGCTAAAAGACCGAGGGTTGTGTCAAGATTTTTTTTACTCATACAATCTAATTGGCTATCCATCATAACCATTCCAACAAAGTTAGAACTATGTGCTGACATGAACAAATCCTAAAACCCCTGTCACACGCCACCGTGTTTCCACAGAGTTGGCACGGCGTTGTGGAATTTCTCAGAGCGCCGTGGGATCGGAGGAAAATTCTGAAAAACGTTGCATATTTATTTAAAATTTTCGTATGATAGAGATGTCACGGCGTCCTTACGGCGAAAAAAGCGTTTCTACGGAGCACCCGTGGCATGCTATCGCATTCCGACGGAATTCTAGTTGGCGATTGACTGTGCTCTCACAGAGTGATGATGGCGTGCAAGGAGTTGTCACTGTGCGTCCACGGCGCGTACACTGTGCTGACGGTGTGCCAACAACGTTGGTATTGCTGGCGTACAATAGTCATGGTGAAATGAGGGTGACAAAGATGAGAATGCATTGATACCATTTTTATGGGTTTGGCTCACAACGTACTAGCAACACCCTGCAAACGCCATGCCAATGCTGATGGATGCGGTAGAAGTACCGTGGGAGCGTAATGATCGCCGTGACAGCTCCGTATTGTCGCTGTGAGAGAGCAGTACAATAAATAACACTCCATGTAAACGCCTTAGCCGTGCCCTAAGGACATCACTAAGGACTCCGTGCGGTCTCCCCGAGGTCACCGTGAGGTCTCCGTGCAAGCGCTGCTGACTAACACTGCGTCCGTACTGTTATCATGTACGTCCTTGGTGCTGGTCCACGCCCCTCAGCATTCTGCATTGTTCATGGACGTCGCAGGATCCGCGTGAGGACGCAGCACTGGTTTGACAGCTGTTTTAGGGAGGGAGAATGGATGACCTGGGGTTAATTGAATTTATAATTCAGATAAAACACCTTAGGACCTATCCATCCATGAATCGTATTTGATTCCAGTACATCTGAATGTGGGGAAGAAAGTTTAGAAATTTTGTGAATTTTCCTTTTTGTGCCCTGCCCCTCCGGCCCCTAGGATTGGTCCTGATACCACAGATATTACTTTCTCGTACCATCTCCTGATTATCCAACAAAGTTTGATTTATTTCTTGCCGAAAATTGATAAAATATATAAAAAAAAGTATTCTTTCCCGATATCAACTATAGTAAAATGTACCCCCTCCCCATACGGAGAAAAGATGACCTAGGGGTAATGAAATTTACAATTAAAAGAAAGCACCTGAAGACTTTTCCATCCATGAAAAGTAATTTTAGAACTTAGCCTGAAGAAGAAGAATTTTGGGCTCTGTTCCTCCAGACCCAGGGAGCAAGGTAGAATATTATTATTTCATACAGTCTTATATATATATTGACAATCTAATCATAATTATTCCAACCAAGTTTGAATTAGTTCCTGCTTATACACAAAAGTGTTATTTCCCTATATATACTATGGCAAACTTTATCTCCTACCCAAGGGAAAACAGATGATTCTGGGGTAAAGAAGTTTACAATTTAGATAAAACAAGAGGCCCAATGGGCCTGCATCGCTCACCTGGTATAAAACTCACACTTGTAACCTTAAAAGTGATCTAAAATAAAGCTACAGGCACAATATAAGTATTTATGATTAAAATTCGTTCAAAAGACCCTGTTATTGTTTTTTAAAACATTTCACCCCTGTGATTGAAAGTCGAACAAAGTCATTATGTTGAACACATTGTGTAGCCTTTCATCTCAGGATGAAACTTGCAAAGTATAAACATCCTGGGACCCATGGTTATTCAGAAGAGGTTGGTTAAAAGATTTTAAACAAATTTGACCCCTGTGACCTTGAATATAAGTCAAAGTCATTCACTTTAACAAACATAGTAGTCCTTGATCCCAGCATATGCTACTAACTAAATATCAACATCCTGAGCCTTTTGGTTATTCAGAACAAGTTGTTGAAATATTTTAAACATATTTGCTCCTTGTGACCTTGAATATGATTCAAGGTCATACATTTAAACAAACATGGTAGCCCTTGATCCTAGTATGCTACTGACAAAAATATCATCACCAAGGGCATTTTGGTTATTCAGAAGAAGTTGTATAAAGTTTTTAACATATTTGACCCCTGTGACCTTGAATATAGGTAAAGGTCATTCATTTGAACAAACTTTGTAGCACTTCATCTTAGCATGCTACTGGCCCAAAATCATCACCCTGTGCATTTTGGTTATTGAGAAGAAGTTGTTTAAAGCTTTTAACATATTTAACCCTTGTGACCTAGAATATGGGTGAAGGTCATTCATTTGAACAAACTTTGTAGCCCTTCATCTTAGAATGCTACTGGCCCAAAATGATCACCCTGTGCATTTTGGTTATTGAGAAGAAGTTGTTTAAAGTTTCTAACATATTTGACCACTGTGACTTTGAAAATAGATGAAGGTCATTTATTTGAACAAACTTTGAAGCCCTTCATCTCAGCCTGCTACTGGCCAAATATCATTACCCTGGGCATTCTGGTTATTGAGAAGAAGTTGTTTAAAGTTTTTAACATATTTAACCCTTGTGACCTAGAATATGGGTGAAGGTCATTCATTTGAACAAACTTTGTAGCACTTTATCTCAGCATGCTACTGGCCAAATATCATCACCCTAGGCATTTTGGTTATTCAGAAGTTATTTAAAGTTTTTTTGAGACAATTGACCCCTGGGACCTTGACTATAATTGAAGGTCATTCATTTGAACAAACTTGGTAGCCCTTCACCCTAGCATGCTAATGACCAAATATCATCTCCCTGGGCAGTTTGGTTATTGAGAAGAAGTTGTTTAAAGTTTTTAATCTATTTGACCCCTGTGACCTTGAAAATAGATGAAGGTCATTTATTTGAACAAACTTTGTAGCCCTTCATCCCAGTCTGCTTCTGGCCAAATATCATCACCCTACGCCTTTCGGTTATTAAGAAGAAGTCGTTTAAAGTAAAATATTGACGCCGGACGCCGGACGGACGACGGACGGACGACGGACGCCGCACCACGGCATAAACACACTTGGCACTTCGTGCCAGGTGAGCTAAAAACAAGCGGCTTTTCATTGATGAATAATATTTTAATTTAGTTCATCTAATTCTGGAGAAGGGTTAGGGAAAGAAACCCCAAATTTTTA